CTCAGACTCTAACAGAAATGAATACCAAGAATATTCCGGGGGGGGGGGGTAGAATGCGGCCGGAGCGTAAGGCTGACAACCTCACCGCCATCTGTGAGCCGATTGTCTAGAAAATGTGGGAACGTCAACATCTCACAACCGTATGGGCCTCCACGGGCTGTTACAGGGAAAATTTATTTTTTTACTTAATTCTAAAATTCTGCAGTTTTTTCACCGTTTGTTAGATATCACTGGCATAGACTTACTGCGTACTGTAAACCTGTTTAGTGACAACACATATATTTTCCGGTTTAAACAATACAGCCTAATTAAGATCCTAGGGATCATATGTTCTGCTCATGACATATTAACATTTTAGACAGATTTGGTCTCTTTCTAAGTACAACACCACCTGTACACATGAAGAGGATGTGTTTCCGGGAGTTTCGTCCGTATGTCCAGTGACCTTGAATATTAGTACCATAGAGATGAGTTTGCAAGCTTCGTAACTTATCATTTCACATAATGGAAAATTGCATTACTTTCATTCCGTATCATTCATATTGTGAAAACTAAGTGCCTAACAGAAATGAGTGTCAGGAATCTTCGTGGGGTGTAAAGGGCGGGCGGCGCGCAAGGCTGAAAATCTCACCGCCAACTATGAGCCGATTGTCTGGTCAAGTAGGATTTGTAGTGGACAAAGTGGCGCTGGGGCAGGTTTTCTCCGAGTACTTCGGTTTCCCCTGCCAATCTTCATTCTACCAATTGCACCACAATCACCCTCACCTATCATCTGGGGCTGGTACAATAGGCCAGAAGTGACCGCAGTACAAGGGACTTAGTCCTACCCCACTAGCAATCAGAAATAGTGAACATGTCACCCATCTTAAAAGTGAAAACGCCTCGCTCCAATCTTAACTACAACAATTTCAGGAAACAGTTGATATTTGTCAATAGAAACCAGGATCCCAGCCTCAGGGATCCTCCTCCAAATTTTAACCGCAGAGAAACAAGCAAGCATGCTTAAAAAAAAAAAGTGAACCCTCAGCAGGAAACTACCAGGAGTTGTCCGTTCCGGATCTTCGCATAGCGCTTCAGCAGCTAGGGCTAAGGAATCCGCTGATTGAGGATTTACTTTGGACGTTGCACCAGATGGTCGGTATTTCTCCGAAGGTTTCTGCAGCGCAAGCAGATTCTGGCGGCTGTAGAACTGTCATATACAAAAGAAGGCCAATACTGATTCTAAGTCTTCTAAGTAACCTTGCGGAGCTGAACCCTTCTTGAGAATCCGCCAATTATGTAGCTACTCAAGAACTTCCCAGCATTTTATGGAACCGAAAATTTCTTTACTATGTTCACGAGGGCCCTCCACTGGTCCTTATCCTGAGCCAGCTCGATCCAGTCCATACCATCCCATCCTGTCTCTCTAAGATCCATCTTAATATTGTTCACCCACCTACGCCTTGATCTTCCTAGTGGTCTCTTTCCTTTTGGCTTTCCCACCATTATCATATATGCGTTCGTATTCGCCCTCATTCATGCTACATATCCTGCCAATCTCTCCCTCCTTCACTTGATCATCTTCGTTGCGAAGAATACAAGTTATGAAGCTCGTAATTATGCAGTTTTCTGCAACCTCCTGTCACTTCATCCCTCTTCGTTCCAAATATTCTCCTCAGCACCCGGTTCTCAAACACCCTCAGTCTATGTTCCTCTCTTAATGTCAGAGACCAAGTTTCACACCTATACAGAACCACGGACAAAATTATATTTTTGCCACTATTGATACCACAGCAGCAAATAATGTAAAACTCCGTCGCCAAACCCTTGCTGGTGTACGCAACTCGCCTTCCTTTCCGAATATTTCAAAACAGGGTAGATTCAAGGCCCTCTTTTTTTCTCGTTTCAGCCCTAAGATCTGCACCGCTGAGGTTCAGAAGTCACTGAAAGGGAAATTAAGCCCTAAGAAATTAGTTCGCTCCCGGCTTCCATCAACTCTAATACTACCAGGAGGAGCAGAGGTAGCTCAGTCGGTATAGCGACTGGCTACGGGCTGGACGACCGAGAGGTAGGAGTTCGAGTCCCGGCAGTGTCAAGAATTTTAATTTCTCCATATCGTCCTACCGGCGCTGGGGTTCACCCAACTTCCTATACAATGGGTACTGGTGCTGTTTCTCAGGGGTAAAGTGGCCAGGGCGTGAAGCTGACCACCCAATTCCAACTAGTGCCGAGGTCAAGAAAATGTGGATCTATACATTCACTCCCCCATACGCCTTCATGGCATAATGCTTAATTAGTTAAGCATAGGGACAAGTTTACTTTTACCTTCTTACTGGCAGCAAAGAGGCACGTGGGGAGAAGCGGTTAGGTTAGGCAGCGGTTTTATTGCCTTCTCTAATCGTCCCAACCTGTCCATATTTTTATCGAAACGTTAGGAGTCCTCATACTAAATGTTCTAATCTATATGGTAATGTTTATTGAGACACATTACTATATTAAAGTTCTTGGAATTTTGTTAGTCCTAATCCTTACGTTCACAGTAACGTTGATCACAGTTTTTCACAAGGCTTGAAATGTTGCATTTGATTCGTTATAATATTTTTCCTTCTCGATTATGACATTTTCTGTCATATCCCATTCAGGTCTAAATTAGATTTCTCTTCTGTGGACTGGAACTCTATCACTTTTATTAATTGTTCTAAACTTGAAAGAATTAAAAAAGAAAACTTGCTGCCTCATATTATTGTAGATTTATTTCTGGCACTTTTGATAACATACGCATATGACAACGTGTCTATAAGACTAAATCTTTCAACACTGTAGTCCAGGAGGCGATTAGTCGCTAATCAAATCTTGATATTACTTGTTTCCGTGTAGCTACTCGGTCAATCAGATATTTTTCAAATTTGTTGTTCGCCATCTTGCAAAAATTAGTCCTTCAGCCAGGTATGCTCATGCAGCACATTTTGTCTTCAGATATAATGATATATTTTACATAGTTCATTTCGTTAATTGATATCCTTAAATCTATTAATAACGCATGTCACAATTGTTGAGTTTTTGCGACATTTATGGCATTAAATCTTCAGAATTTTTCTTTTCATGTAGTTTATGTCTTCTTCATTGTCCATGTCCGTTATACTCGTAACTTCTGTATTAATATTTCTTCTTCAATGCTATCAATTATCAAGCATTTTAGTAACTGAAATTAATTGAATTGCTAGTATTATACTTCGTATCTCAGAAGGCGACGACAATGGAATTCGTGAGGTTATACCTGGGCCACCCAGTCACTGGAAGACATAAATACAGGGACCTTGTCCTCCAAGTTGGGGTTGGACGCATGGCTGACGACTTCGTTTTATAAAAATTTATTGTTCAGAAAAATCTGGTAGAATTTTCTAAGGAAGGCCATGGCTCAAAAATTCATGCTTTTCCAACAACGAAAACGATTCGGGTTGAGATGTAATTGTTGAATATTTAGCTTCCTGCAGATTTGGATGTACTCGATGTCTATACGTATCAATGCAGTGCAATCGTAATTATGCTGCAAGAGACTGTCGTACTCACTGCACTTACAGAGGCCTGAAGTCTTTGGTTGCAGATAATACGAGTACTAATTCTGTCGGTAGGTGAATGTGCCGTCAGTAGCCTCTCTCTCGTCACCTGCCGTCGTTTTCATGGAAAGTGGTTGTTGAGAAGAGCTTTTTAAACCTGTGTTTTGTACATTTGCAGTACTGAATTTTATGAGCGGATTGTGAGTAAGCGAAACGAGGCCCAGAAATAACATAAATTAAATGAAATAATTGTAAGATTTGAGGTTTTCACGGCAGTGACTACGAAGAATGCCGTTGTGTGATCTGACATTCCTCCGAAACTTCGGTTCACACAAGATCTGCACGGGGCCACATCCCAGAAGACGGCATTCTAAATGACATAATTCATTTAATTTTTGTTATATAATTATTTCGCAACCAGCTAGGGTAGGATTTCTATTTTCTCCACAACGTCCAGACCGGGTTCGGGACCCACACAGCTTCCTACACAATGGGAACCGGGGTCTTTTTCCTCGGTGGTTAAACGGCCGGGGTATGAACCTGATCACTCACCACTAACTAGTGCCTGCGCCAAGAATGATGGAGCTATACCTCCACTTCCCCATGTGTCTTCAAGGCATAGTGCTTAATTAACTAAGTAGAGGCACAACTTTACCTATTTAATTGTTCTTAAAACGTGGTCTGCAAAAGTTTTAAATACTGCTTGCTATAAATTTGTATATTACGAAATGACAATGTGTTCAGCTTTATGCGTAAAGTATAGGCAAATAAAAATCGAAGTTCACTCTATTGAAATTTCGTATACCAAGTGTTCGCATATGTAGACATTATGTATTTTATCTGGTGAAGTTACCACCATCTCAGACTGTGTAACGTCAAATGACTTGACGATAGTGAACTGGATATGATCTAGAAGGAAGCGGTCATGGCCTAATTTGAAGTATAACCCCGGAATTTTTGGCGGAAAAACTGAGAAAAACCATGGAATATTTTAGGAATTTGATGCCCAGACCGAGATTCGAACAAGGTACTGACCTCGCGAATACAAACCAGAAGCGTTACCGCTTGAATCTCCTTGCTCGGTGCGGTATTACTCTACAGCGTGTGAAATGTCTACATGTTAGAAATGTAACATTTTCAAGAGGACGCTCAGTCAACAATAAATCTAGCCACCAAAAGCTTATTACCCCGTGCGATTCCATTGACGGCTATGTCCGGTCAAATGACGTCTCTTCAGAATTTGTTTTTTATGAATTGATATTCACTTTCAACAAAGATTTTATGAACAGGATTATAGGAGAGGTCTCAGAGACGTCTGAATATTACGTGACGCACCTTATCGTTTTACATTAATGTTATCTTTGTTTTAACGCCACAATGCTTAATTCTGCTGAGCATAAACTAACAACAGCAAAGACGAGGGTCATCTGCCTTCCGCGGCAACAGTCAGTGGCTGTTCTAACGTTTCACAGAGAGGGATTACTGCTCACAGACTTCACAATACATTGCAAAATCTTCTACAGGGAACGTTAGTACTTGCTATATTACATCTATCTCATTAGAATTAACTTGAATGATAATGTTGTAAGTTCCTTTGTTGCTAGTGGGGTGGGACTAAGTCCCTTGTACTGCGGCCACTTCTGGCCTATTGTACCAGCCCCAGATGATAGGTAAGGGTGATTGTGGAGCAATTGGTGGAATGAAGATTGGCAGGCGAAACCGAAGTACTCGGAGAAAACCTGCCCCAGCTGCACTTTGTCCACCACAAATCCCACTTGACCAGAACCCGGGATCGAACCCGGGCCGCTGCGGTGGGAATCCAAAGACTAACCGCTTGAGATATGGCGCGGCCACTAATGAATGTACCATAGTCACAGAATTTTAGATTTTATGAATGTTGATAAATATTGAAAGTTCGAAAATTTTGGTTGTCTGGCGACCGGAGAATTTGGCTGGCTACTAATGTCTTGCTTGACATTATTGAGTTGGTATTTGGAGTTCTGGAATCTGCAGCAGACTAGAGCTATATCCACACATAATTATGGGTCAAAGACCTAATAATTAATTTCTTATTTAAAGTCCATTAGCTGCCTTGTGCCTGTCCACAGTACAGGTTACAGAAATGAATCTTGAGCTCCGAGGGGAGTCTGGGGCCGTATCAAGGCGCCGGAAACTGACGATCCAACTTTTATCTGAAAGCCAAAATATTTGTCTGGTTACCAGATCTTCATAAGTGTATCAATCCTTGAACACGCGCGCGCATATATCGTATAATTTACAATATGGGCCGATATATAACCAACCATATTATCTCTTTAGTATTTTATTTCTGATATATATACATATATATGTTTGTGTGTGTGTGTATTCCTGTGTATACAGTTGCGCATGCCTGCATGATCGTGCGCTTGCGTGCATTTCTTCGACCTGAAATATAATAAGTTTGGTAATAGAGACCGGTTTTTAACTAACGATGCGTGAAATTCACGAAAACGCTGAAGACTGCAAAATTATCTTGACGGAGTTGATTTGCTTTCAAAATAAGATCTGCTGACAACTGATGCTAAAACTCCGCAGCCTTTAGTCCGAAAGCGAATTATACCTACCGAACGACAGCCGCTTGTCGGCGAAGTTAGCGCCAACTTTCGTGTATAGAGAGTGTCGCGTGGTCAGCGCAACGGATTCTCACGGCCGTTGATTTCGGTTTGCTAGACGGGAGTCGCCACTTTTCCATTCAAGTAGCTCCTCAATTATCCTCACGAGGCTGAGTGGACCCCGTTCCAGACCCAGTACTTCTCAGAAAATCTTGTATCGCCGGGAATCGAACCCGGGATCTCTGGATCTGTTGCCAGGAATTCTGACCACTAGACCACAGAGGGGTTCGCTGAAAACTGATACAGGGAATAAAAACAAACTCGTAGATTTTTAAACTCTTCGTCAAAAATCCTGTTTATTTCGAACTCTACGTGTACTAGCCCATAGAAACCTAAAAGAGCCACTAATTTTGCGTAGAGCCGCTAGAGGCGATGAGATATTTCATTTACCACTCCGTGCAAATACTTCCCTCTTTCAGAGAGCTTCCTGTTCAATAAATAAAGTGGGTTGGACCGGGTTGGGCTCTCTGCGCATCCAGTACCGACTTGTATATCAGTGGCTCCCATAATGCTGTGATTTGAAACGTTAACACACGCCATCTGTTGTGAAATGCTTTAATAACTGAGAGCTCAAGGGTGTCGCGACCTCACGCATTTGCCGAGAGGCTGCAGCAAAAACCCGAAGAGGTTAGAAACAATAATACGAGTAAAAACCTACAATTCGTTCCCTTCTAAAGCCAGTAATTAGTATGTGCAAAACATAAATAGTGATAACGATTTCGATTTTTATCATTTTAATGACCTAAAATACTGGAGGACGCATTTAGAAGACCTCGCATGTTATTTAATTGCGCTTTCTTTGATTTCACTTCCAGGAAGAAACGTGATCCAGACACTGAATATACGAGTAAAAGTAGTGTTTTTCCGAGTACTTCCATACAGAGTTTGAAAATTTAATACCTCCTTTGGCCATGCCATAGCTCAGACGGTTCAGACCGGTTCAGACGGTCCCCGGTTTCTTAACGCGGATGTCCGTTTTCAGTCCTAATGCAGTTCATGAGTGATTTGACGTGCGCAAAGTGGCATTTGAGCACATGGTTTTCCCAGTACTTTTTCCCCATGCGAATTATCATTCCATCAATGCGCCATACTAATTTAGCATCAGGAGCTGGTAATACAGACCAGTCTGATCGAGCAATACCAAGAGATTCAGTGTTATTCGTCAAAAAAAAAAAAGTTCAGATTTAATAGAAATGTAATTTCGGGGCTTGTTATGAAATGTCGATGAACCCACCAAATTCTAGGCTTCCGCACACATTGCTGAAACTTAAAAACTAAAATTTTACAAACAAAACAAACTCTGTGGACTGTAGTCTGCAAGCGAACTATACCGACCGAACAACCGCCTCTTGTCGGAGAAATTAGTGCCAACCTTTGCGGATAGAGGGTGTCGGTTGGTCAGCGCAACGGATCCCCACGGCCGTTAATCTCGGTTTTCTAGACCGGAGTCGCTATTTCCTTGAAATAGCTCCTGAATTATCATCACGAGACTGAGTCGAATCGAACCTGGGACCTCTGGATCTGTAGGCAGGAACTCTGACCACTAGACCACACAGCAGTTGTTTTAAAAGAGACCTCAATTCTGTCTTAAAATTCACCGTGTCTAAATTGGTTTTCTAATCGGTGGACAGGAAGGGATGTACAAATAACATGGCCTCAGAACAGCTCATATCACAAATTTCTTTATTTCTTCAGCGTCCTGTTCTGAAACACCTCAAATCTCTATTCTTCCTTTAAAGCCGGAAAGTATGGAACGGAAATAACCTGAGAATTTTTGTACGGATTGTTAGTTCCAGAATCTTCTGAATTCCCAAAAACCACGTATGCAGGGTCTAGTGATCAGAGTTCCTGGCTACAGATCCAGAGGTTCCGGGTTCGATTCCCGGCGATACCAGATTTTCTAAGAAGTGATGGGTCTGGAACGGGGTCCACTCAGCCTCGTGAGGATAATTGAGAAGCTACTTGAATGGAAAAGTAGCGGCTCCGTTCTAGAAAACCGAAATTAACGGCCATGGGGACTCGTTACGTTGACCACATGACACCATCTATCCGCTAAAGTTGGCACTAACTTCGCCGAAAAGCGGCGGTCTCTCGGTCGGTATAGTTCGCTTGCGGACTAAAGGCCACGTAGTTTACTTTTTTGGTTTAAGATACTAGTTGCAGTGTCGATGTATCCACAAGAAGGAACATGATCGTGGGACTATAAGGAATACTGTCATCTGGAAAGTGATGCCGTGTAGTCTGATGGGAAGTTCATACGGAGTCACTCCTCAGAAGACAGTATACTTAGAATATGATGATAAATTTAATCTGATAGAGGTGGAGCTTCAGAACATGATTCGGCAGGAAAGTAATAAGAAATTGAACTCGGGTAATGCTTGCTACCATTCAGTCCAGAACCTTTTGTTTTCTCGTCTGCTGTCTAAAAACATAAAAATTAGAATATACAAAACTATAATTTTGCCTATGGTTCTATATGTATGTGAAACTTGGTCTCTGACATTAAGGAAGAAACATAGACCGAGGGTGTTTGAGAACAGGGTGTTGAGGAGAATATGTGGACTGAAAAGAGATGAAGTGACAGGAGGTTGAAGAATATTGCATAATGAGGACCTTCACAACCTTTACTCTTCACAAAATATAAATAGAATGATCGAATCAAGGACGATGAGATGGGCAGGCATGTAGCACTAATAGGGGAGAAGATGAATGCATATGTAATATTGGTGGGAAAGCCAGAAGAAAAGAGACCACTAGGAAGACTAAAGCGTAGATGGGTGGACAATATTAAGATGGATCTTAGAGAGATAGAATCGGATGTTATGGATTAGATTGATCTGGCTCAGGATAGGAACCAGTGGAGGGCCCTCGTGAACATAGTAAAGAAATTTTCGGTTCCATAAAATGCTGGGAAGTTCTTGAGTAGCTGCACAATTGGCAGCTTCTCAAGAAGTGCTCAGCTCCATGAGTGAGTGGGTGAGAGGTGGAGCTAGTTACGTTTCGGTGATTTGGCAACAAAGTTGCTAAGTATATGTACACGTAGGTTTCTAGCAAGTATGGAATACAGAAGTCCTCTATACCGAATCCATGAACTTTATAAGTTTAGGTTTATTTTATACAGTATATTTAGGACTACTAAGTGTCCCGAATTATAATGTCCTGTCCTGCCAGTCAGAAACATATTTTATAGCAAGATGATTTACGAACTGTGCATATTTTTTAACTTTTTTTTTTCGTGTGCCCAAATAAGGAATACACGAAATACTCCGCTCTGTTATTCTTGGAGTTTGCCTGGTATTTTAGAGCTGTTTGTTCAGAAGGGATGGACTGGTTATTGGAAACAAAAATACTTATGTGCTCTTTATGGACAATCTTCTCTGAAGATCGAGAACAGTTGAGAGGACATTAATTAGGTAGCTTGTAGAGACAGCGTGATCTTGAGGATGTTGTTTGGAGCATGTGCATCATGGGTCTTGGTTTAGCATTGTTTAACCTTCGTTATTCTACAGACAGGTCGTTAGTTAGTTTCTCCTTCCACAAGCAGAGCCTTCCGAATCTTTCCCAACTCTGAAAAAACATTTACATTATGATTAAGAGATACGAGAGGGGCACGTAGTTGATTGAGGCACTACGCTGCAACTCGGATGGTCGCGGGTTCGAGTCTAGATTAGGTGGATTTTTTAATTTACCTAATCCTTCCAGCCACACTCTGGCCCTTGGGTTGACTCAGCCTCTAAGAGAAATGAGTACCATGAATATTCCTGTGGGGTAAAGAGAGGCCGGTGAGGAGGCTGACACCTCACTGCCATCTGTGAGCCGATAGTCTAGAGAAAATGTGGTATCCTCGACGTCTCACAACTTTACGGGCCTTCACGGCCTGTTACAGGGATAGCTTTACCTTTTTTTAAAGACACGGGAAGCAAGAAACCATCCCCAAAACTGGTCTCACCTTAATTAACTACCTGGTGGCTGAATCCAAAACTTCAGCGCAGCTAATACCAAGTCTGTCACTGGACACGTTTTGAGACAGCTGCATACGTCTCTAATCCTTGCACCTGTTCATGTAAAATTCATCTTTATGTTACACTCTTATCTACTGTTGGAACCGCTGCAACATTGTCCGTTTCGTGCCCGCTACAGTGTGTCGTCAAGAGCCTGCAGGCTACAATGAGCGCGTCTGATCGGATTCGCTCTCTTCTCACAGATCTGTAGACCAGTCTGCATTAGTACTTTCCCCTAACAGCAATTGTACTGAACATCAGGTGTGGCTCCCAAAGTAGGCGACGCACCCCAAGGTGCTCAAGTGGAGTGGAACGTGACTGTGATACTAACTTCATGGTGCACGTTCTTTCATTGAAAGATGACAATCACTCAGTTGGTCGATTTGTTTCTGTAGCTCATTAACCGTACCGATCACAGTGACCGCGCGGTCTAAGGCATGAACCGTCTTCGCCCACTCTAACACCGGCATCGTGAGTTCAAATCCCACTCGAGGCATGGATGTCTGTGTGTGTTTATTCTGCATTTGTGCTGTTCTGTCTGTACGTAGCTTGTCTTACGATCCACCGTCCAAGGAATCCTATCGACTGTGTATAGATTAAGAAACTGAAAAGGCCGCCAATTTCCACAAGGGCTGTGGAACCATAGGTAGATAGCGTATTCCTAAGCAGAGCAGGAATATGCAAGAAGTGGGACGCGACATGGCAGGAGGAAAGTACACTCTCCAGATGAAGAGAACAGGTGGACCTAGTTCATGCAAGTGATGATCGTGAGTAATAAGAACCAGGAAGTACTTATTAAACTGGATAATTTCATTTGATATACGGGAACAGTTGAATTATAAGTTGGAGCATGAAGTGATGTACAGTGGCGATGCTATATGCGTGGTAGATCTGTAACCTAGAATATTAGGATGATTAGTTACTGATGAATTATAAAGGATTTGGAAAAAATCCGTCTTATCCGAATCGAAGTTCTATCTCTGGAGGGACTGAGGAAATCCACCAAAGTCATCATACAGGATAGTCGATGTCCTGGCCAACATTCGAACCGAGCATCCCCCGAATACAAATCTGCAGAGTTGTCGCTACCCCATCCTGCTCTCTCAGTGCATAAATGAAAACATTTCTTAACATTTAACTATTAAGGGCATGAACATAAAATTGTGGTAAAACTGCCGGTCACTGAACAACTCGTGTTGGCAAGTGAAATCTCAAATCTGAGACAGTAAAATATGGTCACGAGTCCTAAGGGACTCGGACCCGAGAAAGACTGCACTGGTAAGGGTCACTAGCATATACAAAAGACAGACCCGTTCTCTCGTCAGAGAGGGCGCTCCACAAAAGCAATACCGTCACTGTCAATCAGTAATAAGTATCTGGCTGCAAGCCACAGATGCGTGCTTTATGCCAAGACAGACTGGCCGACTGACCGTCGGTCGTAAAATGAGACTCAGCCTCAGACTCAGCCAGAAGCGACAAGCGAGAAGTCATAAGTGAACTTGCGTGTTTGCGAGAGGCAGACTTTGTTCAAGCAAGCAGACTTCGAAGACCTACTTTTCTGGCTTATAGTTAAAGTCATATAATTATCTGTATTCCCTCCTGGTAAATTGTCCAACACATCGATTTATCTAATCTGAAACCCATTAATTACTTGTCGCTTTACCAGGACAGTACGTGACAGTACCATTTCCATCTTATTTCTCTAAAATCCATTTTAATATTACCCACCCACATACGTCTAGGTCATCTAGTTTTCTCGATCCTTTTGGCTTTATCATCAAAATCCTATATGCATTCCTCTTCCCCACATGCGTGCTACATGTCCTGGTCATCTCATTCTTCTTAGCTTGATCACTATATTTATAGTTATGTAGGTCCTCATCATTCGACATGAAAGCTAATGATCGTCATCAGGATTTTATGAGCAGGAATATCTGAAGGGCGATGAGGTTGGGGTGCCCCAGTTTGGTGCGCATCTTGTGAAGTTCACCTACCTCTGATTTGTGTTACTGTGGCGGCTTCCTTTGTTTCTCCCGCCGTTACGGCACAGCACGTAGCAATATGGCAGTTTTATGTGTAATATTGTAATTCAGTTGCAGTCCGTGTCTTCTGGTAATATGTCACGATCGGGTTGCTCTTATGTGAAGGACCTTGAGAATAAGGGAGAGACTGCGATGAATTTAAATATTTATTTCTAAAATATATATTTGAATTAAGGTTCTGAGAAGTAGTGGGTCTGGAACGGGGACCACTCAGCATCATGAGGATAAGTGAGGAACTGTTTCAAGGAAATAGCGGCTGCGGTATAGAAAACCGACAGTAACGGCCGTGGGTATCCGTTGCGCTGCACAGGGGCCGCGGCGGTGGGAAGCCAGCGACTAACGGCTTGAGCTATAGCGCGGCCCCGCTATTAAATCTAACTTAACTGTGGTATAATTCTTTCACATTTAATGGTTTACAGAAGTTATGAAGTACTGCAAAGAATGGAACTTGAAATGTAACCGAAACAAATCTAAAATATTAGTGATACGAGAGATGGAGTGTGAACTATCAACGAATTGAAGTGATTTAGGACTAACATATGAAAGTATTAGTGTGGTATAATTCTTTCACATTTAATGGTTTACAGAAGTTATGAAGTACTGCAAAGAATGGAACTTGAAATGTAACCGAAACAAATCTAAAATATTAGTAATACGAGAGATGGATTGTGAACTATCAACGAATTGAAGTGATTTAGGACTAACATATGAAAGTAGTAGTGATGGAATAGACGAAAACTTAATACAATGGTCAAAGGGAATCGACTTTAGTAGCCATAAACAAATTCCTAGCAAGATTTTAGATGCATATATATGAGGTACTAAGCGAATCTAGCACAACTCATGACAGAGATGTCGGGCCGAGGTGGAGGATGGAAAGAAATTGTCGAAACGCATACTATGTAGATTCTGTAAAGTAATATTAGGGGTCCTAGTGTTTGCAGAAAACAACGTGGCTGGAATTATGGAGGGATAGTAGGAAGGGAAAATTTCCTTCTTAAATGGCAACCTCAGTTTCGCGCAATACCCCCACTTCACAAACGAGGCTGTAAAGATCAAGTCATGGCAGTGCAACAATTAACCTGGCGTGGAGGCTATTGCTACTGCCGTGTTCTAATAGCTCATATTCTTTCCGTTGCAGTTGAGACCTGTTCCTCCGCTGTTATGGCAACTTCTATACTGTACGTGGCGGTTGCTACCCTGTGCCTCTCCCACTTGTTCGGTAAGTTGCATCCGCTCTTATGGCAACTTCTATACTGTACGTGGCGGTTGCTACCCTGTGCCTCTTCCACTTGTTCGGTAAGTTGTATCCGCTGTCTACTTTACCCCTAGGGCATACTTATCGAGAAGGATAAGCTGGGCGGGAATTGTAGCTCACGTGGAAAGAACAAGAAATGCACACACAATTTTGACTGGGAATCTCAAGAAAGAAGACAATTATAATATTAAACTTAATTTTGTAAATAGTAGGTTAGAGCCTATAATATGTAAATTTACTCAGAAAATGATCCAATTACGGTATTTTCCGTCCACTATTATGAACCGTTGAGTTGTAACTCTCGTGAAAGAAACAAGAAATGAATAAAAATTTCGGTTTTATTATTTCATAAAGAGAGACCAGTTCGGAAGTGCAGACGAATTATGACGTTAACATTAATAGCATAGAATATACGATATATGAATATCTCGTTCAGTAACAGAATTCTGTTTACGCGGATAGAAGTACTCGAATGGGAGAAGCAAGAAATGAGAATATATTCCAACTCCATATAGCCATAATCTCCATACCGAAAGCGTCGTGAAATAACTAACCCACGGAAGGAAGAGAAAAAGAAATTGATAACAAAAAATTTGGTTGGAAATGTTCGAGAAAGGAGACCACGTGGGATAAAGAGGCACAGAATCGGCTATAAAACTAAAATTATTCTTAAAAGAATGCAATAGGAGCATCTGAAGTAGCTGACATTAAGGTTCAATAACAGAACTATATGAACATGGTGTTCAACCTTATGTTCCATAGCAATATGAAATTCGTCACTACTTGTTATCTTCTGGGATATATCGCCGTATCACAGTTGTCCCTGTGCTTAACTAATTATGCACTGCTCCATGAAGATGTATGGGGTAGCGGATGTATAGATCCACATTTTCTTGACCTCAGCTCTAGCTGGAGGTGAGTGGTCAGCTTCACACCCCTACAGCTTTATCCCCAGAGAAAAATCTTTCAGTACCCATTTGATAGGAGGCTGGGTGGACCCCAGAATCTGTCTGGACGTCGTGGAGACGTGAAAATTCTTACCCCACCGGGACTTGAACTCAGACGCCTCAGTCGTCCAGCCCATAGCCAGTCACTATACCGAGACTACGATAAGGCCGTGTAGTCAGTTGAAAATAGACGGCGTTTCGGAGGAATATTTCGTTTCTATCTTCATAACCACTGCTGTGAGAACTTCGAATCCTGCATCTGTTAAGTAGTTAATGGAATTCAGTTAGGGGAGAGCAAATACGGGTTCGTTGGTGCATTCTGTGTAGGCAGTAGATGCGGGACTTGTGTCGCAACATAACATGCCCTCTCTCGGCAGATCCTCTGGAACGGACTCAGAGACAGACAGATGCTTGTATTAAAGTGGACTTGAGGAATATTTTTATGCCATTATGGTTTAGGTTCAGTAGGCTCAGAACAGGTTCCGCTGGTGGTTGTTTGCTTTTACAGTATTAAATCTTGGGGTCCAGGTTCCCTTAAGACTATGGTCTCGGCTGTGACACCATGTAGTTTTGTACGTCATGAATGAAATTTTCCTTCGTGTTAAGGGTGGAAGTTCCACCGTGAAGATGGATGCAGCAGGATAATCCGAAACATTAGCAAAGACCAACTAAACTACACGGTAATCTACCCTCAAGATGAAGGCAACAGATTTCTTCTTCTTTTTCTTGGAGCATAGGACATCCGTGAAACACTAAAAAAAATTAAATTCGCTTAGTGGGGGGTGGAGTCCAACTGGGTCCACTCGGCACGGCGGCCACTGATTGACCTATTGTAGCCTGCCCAGATGATTATGATGATGTAGAATTTGGTGGAATGAAGATTGGCAGGTGAAACCGAAAGTACTCGGAGAAAACCCGCCCCAGCCCCACTTTGTCTACCACAAATCCCACTTGACCAGATCCGGGCTCGAACCCGAGCCGCCGTGGGAAGCCAGCGACTAACCGCTTGAGCTATGGCGCGCCCTCCGTGAAACGCTTTGTTTCATTTCAGTTGCTTAATCTAAGACAGTCGGTAGGACTCACTGGACGGGGGATCAGCCCGTCGCAAGGCTGCTACATAACACAAACACAGAATAAACACAATAATGCCTTGAGTGGGATTCGAACCCACGATCCCAGTGTTCAAGCGGCCGATGACATTTCATGCTGCGCGGCCACTGTGATCGGCAGCAGATTCCTACGAAACATTAATAACCAACTATGAGACTACGCTTGTTACTCAGCAAGTTAGCACAAGCCATGTCTCTGACTTATGTTCTGAGAGTTCTCGATTCGAATCTCGACCGGGACATCAACTATCCTTACTGAAATTTCCGTCATTTTCCTTAGTCTCGACAGGCAAATACGGAAATCTCTTAAATTAATCGAAGGGCCCTTCATTCCACATCGTTTACAATTCAATATTCATTATTGTGGAATCGTTCGATGTTATATTCTGAATTAATGACTCCGTGGCCTGTAGTCCGCAGACGAACTATACCGACCGACGCTTGTCGGCGAAGTTAGTGCCAACTTTAGCGGATAGAGGATGTCACGTGGTCAACGCAATGAATCCAAACGGCTGTTAACCTCGGATTTCTAGACCGGAGTCTCCATTTACTTGAAATGGCTCCTCTGTTATCCTCACGAGGCTGAGTGGACCCCGTTTAAAACCCACTACTTCTCAGAAAATCTGGTAGCGCCGGGAATCGAAACCGGGACCTCTGGATCTGTAGGCAGGAACTCTGACCACTAGACCACAGAGGAATTACTGACACCGTCGTTAAACAAATAAAAATTATTAACAACACGGTGTTCTACCCGGAAGATGAGGGCAATAGATTCCTCAAATTTCGGTAGGCACTTACGAAACTAAAGGCAGGTTTGCCCTCAAGAAGGAGGCAATAAATTCCTCCGGAACGTAGGGAACCACATTCTAAACTACCGCTCTCCTACCGTGAAGATGAGGGCATTAGATTCTTCCGAAATATTGGAAATTACGGACGAAGCTCAAGAGTGTCATAGCCGAGAAAGCCACAAGGAAATTTTCGCCTCCGTGGAAACCTCGAATCCCATTCACGTCACATTTTTGCGCAGTAACGGCCCTGGGTCTGGTGCACCATTACAGCGACTTCCTGCCGCCGGCTACAAGCTGGTTCAGCCTGTGGCAGCCGAAGTCGAACAACCAGCTTCTCCTGTACGTGCCGAAACCCGCTACTCACAGCCGGTACCAGCACAGCAGGGCACTGTCCGGACACAAGCACTTCGGCTACGCGAGGCATAACGGTAAGCTTCCCAGCGATTAAAACGGGTTTCAAAGATGTAGACAAACACTGGAAAAGAACATGTACTTTCCTGGGAAATTAATTTTGTGTATATATTCCCTATTTGAAATAAGACATATCTGGAAGAACTAATTACCTAATTTAATATGACACAAACCGCATAGAAAACGTAAAATTATGGGGGATACAGAGACATAAAAATAGCAAGGCGATCTCGTAAGCTTCATTATCCTCAAAACGAGAAGGGGGAGGGGGTGGAAACGCAGACAGACAGACAGACAGACAGAGACAGCAATGTGGTCCCGTTCATTCATTCATCAGTAATCTGTTAGACGACAGGTCCACAGTCTCTTCCAAAACCGTTCCTCCACTTAATGCGATCTAGAGCTTTCTCCTTCAAATGAGAATAAGAATATCTTCTTCTGTCCCCAAGATCATCCAGCATCTTCTTACGTCTTCTTCCTCGTCTTCTGGTTCCCATACATGGTGTCTCTGTTTTTGGAAAGAGAATATCCAGGGAAAGTGATAATGTGGTAGTTTTTCCATTTGCTTTCCACATTGCAGTACAACAGCCGTTCAAACCACGAACTTGAAGCATCTCGAGCATCATTTGCTCTGTGCTTCAAGTCGCTACTGATGACGCTGCTTCTGGCATCAGTTTTTGGTTTTTGGTATCTCTCTTCGTCTGATGCCTACCCTTTGACCTGTCCAGCAAGGGAGGCTCTGCCAGTAGCTACGCTGCCGCTGGTATAGCTCTCAGGCTTCTTGGCATACTCAAACCCCTCACCACGATAAGGTGGAGACACCAACGAGGGTGGTGACCTCATAAGCTTCAAATATCTAACAAATTGGGAAGATACACAGCGAGATGGACAAGACACAGACGGATACAGAGTCAGAGAGCAAGGTCATCTCATAAACCTCCTTTAAAAAAAAAATTAAAATAAGCTACAACATAAAAGTAGGCTTCTGAGATCACCTTGCTGTCTGTGTGCTTATCCGTCCTATCGTTGCTAGGCAACGGATTGGTAAACACGTTCCAGCTGCAAGGAATACGCACACAACAATAGAATTGTTGAATGCGTCATTTTCTATGCGGTTCATATCATATCAAAGGAAAATAGCCGATTATGTCTTCCCAGAACTTCTCGTATGAAGCACAGTGCACTTATGGATTTTGTGTAGTTCTCACAATGAACATCATTAACCGGTTGATTTTCGTAACTGAGACACAGTATATTTTTGTGAGAAATGCACTGAAATGTTAGTATTGTTTAGATGACTTTTAGATTTCACATCACTGAGTTAATTTATATAGGTGTCTTCCACTTATTGCGTATAAAGTCAACAAGAGAACTTCACAAATTTGCGATAACTGCTACAGGCCTGTTGTGAATAATACAAGTAAAAGGTGTCCGGATGAAAGGTCTCCAAAATAAAAAATATATATCTCGGAAACTTTCATACATATATCCGGTTTATGTTAACGAAAAGGAAAACTCTTAAAAGTTTTTTTTCATGCCTGGCTTACACGTATGGGCCAGCTGGTGATCTTCGGCGAGCTCAGTAGCGATGTCGACAGCACAGGAACAGGTTCCACGCCTGTTGTGGCTAGCAGAGTTGCAATCTCTTACGGCTCTCCAGCGCCGTTTTAGAATGCAATATGGACGCCAGCCTCCTATACGGAAAAGCATTCGGTTCTGGGACAACAAACTGAGGACTACAGGTAGTCTGTTGAGTGCAAAAGCTCCTGGAAAGATACGGACCTCTGGAAAAAATGTCAATCGGATTAGAGAGGCATTCCAGTGAAGTCAGCGCAAATTAATTCATGCTGTTAGCTTGCAGTTATGTACAAATTCCACGTTCACCAATGCACGGCGTGCTACACAAAAGGCTTCGCCTAAGAGCGTAGCGTACAAGATTCAAATGATTCATGCACTAAAACCGAGTGACAAGTAACACGCACAAACTTCTCTCTGGACATGCCAGAAAGAATTGACGCGTAACACGATTTCCTCCGCCAAGCGGGCTTCTCGGACGAGGCGACGTTCCATATCAGTGGAGTTCTAAACAGGCACAACTGCAAGATTTGTGGCAGTCAAATCGACATGTGAGTTGGAGGGAGGCAGCCCCAAAGTGAACTTGTGGACCGGCTTAATGCACGACAAGTTGATTGGACTATTTTACTTTTCGGAAGAGACTGTAACCGGACGTTCATAATTGGACATGCTGGAGCTGTATGCGTTGCTCAAATTACCATCTCAAACTCTCCCCCAACAAGATGGGGCACGACCACATTTCTGCCACCATACTAGGAATCACCTGGACAGAGAGATGGCTGGGAGATAAATCGACAGAAGTAGACCAATCGCTTGGCCTCCTAGATCGCCAGATTTAACCACACTGGATTTTTCCTTGTGGGGTTATGTAAAGAACATAATGTTGTATTTTAGCGTCCTGTTGCATTGATAATAGGTTTTAACAAGTTTTAAATATATAAACTTTATTAATATATAAGGACGTATACAAATTTAATATTATTTGTAAATGGACATATAAAGGCAAGCAGTGAAATAGTTGACGGATCGATATACCTGAAGATGGCAGCATACTGCCGAAACGTGTAGTGCAGAAGGGGTAAATGGGATTGTATGCACTTGAAGACTGTTAATACATACACATTATGAATAGTAAAGAACACTGTCTACCAAGTTAATATCGACCACATAATGGACGCTGTGGCTATGGTAACACCAAACATGCTTCAAGTAAAATGGAACGAGATCGAATATTGTCTGGATATTTGTCGTGCCACCATTGAAATTTATCGAGGAAGTTATATACGCAGAAAAATTTTTGATAGTTTCCCCTTGTAATGGTGTAACCCATAAATGTGCATAATAAATGCCCTCTGAGATATAATTATTTTATTTTGGATACCTTTCATCCGGACACCCTGTATTATAGACCTAATTGCGTGATGTAATTTGTATGTAATCGAAGGAAGCCGCTTATATGTCATTTGTTTACTAAGCAGAAAGTCACATTCAAATGCGTGCGGTTAGTCAGCCAGTGACTAGATTATTTTTCTTCCACGAGTATGAATTTTTACGTTTGCCATCTGTCAGTCACACAACTACTGAATCGCTTGAAAGAGAAATCTCTGTAAACTGGGCCCCGACCGAGCAGCCATCAGCACACTTATTCTGTAAACGTGCCTCATCAGCTGTGAATTGTATGTTCTGTGAATACAGTACAATATGGGTTTGTTCTGACAACGGTCTCTGATTAGTATCGCACGATTTTTGTTTGTCTGGCGAAGGCAGCGTGCTAAATAGATCTACTAATCGATTAAGAAATTAAGGTGTGCACTCTACTGTCTTCGATTGTTCGAATATTGGGATCGTGGTTTCGAATCCCGTATGTGCCATGGATGTGAACCTAAGCTTATGACTTGTTTTGTTTATTGTACTACAAAGTCCGTCAACAGTGTAACAAATTGTTCCTTCTTTCTCACACTTTCACTTTCGACACATGTTTCGGCCCTAAATGGCCATCTTCAGATGTCTTACTATGCCAAAACTGCTACACTACATTAATATTAGATATGGTAATGCAACAAGATGCTTAAATACAGGATTGCTTTGTTTTGTGCTTGTATTCTCCTGTGAAGGCTTTGCGATCCCTATTTCTCCCCGGGAAAAAATAAATTCACAAAGCTGTGTTCTTCTTGAGAATCCGCCAGTCGATTAGCTACTCAAGAATTTTCCCAGAATTCTGCAGAACCCAAAGGTTCATTACCGTGTTAAGAAGACCCCTCCACTGCTTCTTATGATACGCCGAATGAATTACTTGATACCACCCAATCAGAATTCTCTAAGACCCATTTTATCCTTCTCCAACCTAGCTCTAGGTCCTCCTAGACCTCCCTTTTCTTCTGGCTTTCCGACCAAAACCTTCTATGCATTCAACCTCTTCCCATGCCACCTATATGCCTTGCCCATCGCATCACACTTGATTTGATCATTCTAATTTTTTTGGAAAAGTGTAAACTTTGTGAAGCTCCTCATAATGCAGTTATTTCCCAGGAGGTACTGCGTCAGTATTACAAAAGGTCGAGTCAGGAAAGCCGGTCATTTGGCCGGGATTTGAACCTCTCACTTTGCGAATAGCGAGCAGGATTGCTACCACGACAGTCGGTGAAATGAGCCATTTTACTCTACTCTTTGTTCTGATTGCATGTGTCAGCCCTTGGTTAAATTCCGGTTATACTGTAAGAGTGAAGTTACGTCATGTGCAGAAACCTCTATTGCCCTAATCCTTCCAGCCGCATTTTGGTCCCGGGGACATCTCAGCCTCTAACAGAAATGAGTACCAGGAATCTTCCTGGGGGTAAAAGGCCGCTGGCACGTCAGGCTCACCGCCATCTGTGAACCGATTGTCTAGCAAATGTAGCCTGTTACAGGGTTATCTTTTCTTTTTCTTTTTGTGACATACCTATGCATATTTAAGCATCACATCATGAAGGTATATGGAAAAGTGGAGGGATTGCTCCATGCATTCATAATCTCGGAAATAAGTGGAGGTGAGTCGTCAGCTTGATGCCTCAGCTGCTTCATCGCTTGGGGATAAGTCTCGATGTCCATTGTGCAGGAGGCTGAACGCTGCGGAGAGGAGAAGGGGGTCCCCCCTACCGGCTAATGTGGGAAACGAACCCCGATTATTCGGTCATCCAGCAATTATTCCACTATTCGGCGCTAATCAGTGTAGCTGAAGATTCGCGTGAAGCAGCTGAATAATTAATTAATTAAACTCATGCCTTTTCTGTTATGCTGGTCGCATGAAAGTAGAACACTGAAGCGCAATTCCTGAAGGCATAAACCGGTTTCTTGTAGCCCTAACCATGACATTGACCCACTTAGAGAGACAGGTACCACGCCCCCGCGGACATTGTCCTCCGTCTCAGATGTATCAAGACTGACCTGGGTTAACAGAACAGATTATCTCAAGCGATGCTGTAACCAAACCATCTCCCTTGATTCTGGAGCCATCCGGTCTCCGCGTTGTCTTGGGGACAGGCGCTATTTTTGCTGAGGGTTTCATGGTTTTCGAAGTTTATCGTCCAATTAAGGTGTGTCGCATTAAATCGGCAGCGACCAGTACTTTCCAATGAGGAGCTTCATAACTTCTACTCTTCCCAAATATAATTAGGATGATCAAGTCAAGAATGATGGACTACGTAGGGCATGTAGCACGAATGGGCGAGAAGAGGAATGCATATAGGAATTTATCGAGAAAGAAGGATGATTATGAAGACCTAGACGTCGGTGGGAGAAGAATAATAAAATGGATGTTAGAGAAATAGGATGGAGTGATATGAACTAGATTGATCTGTCTCAGGATAGGGACTAGCGGAGAGTTCTTTTTGAATTGATAATGAAACGTCGGTTTACATAAAACGTTAGGCCCCAATTTGGGCCCTGGCCAACCTCCATGAAACTCTCCGTTTCACTTCGGTTTACTAGATCTCAGACATTCGGTAGGAATCCTTGGGTAGGTGATCAGCTCGTCGCAAGGCCTCTCTAACTGTACAAAAACACGTAAAAACGTACACACACACAAACCCACCAAACTTCCATGCCCTGGGTGGGATTCGAACCAGCGATCCCGGCTTCCGAGCGAGCGAAGACAGTTCATGCCTTAGGCCGTTCGGCTATCGTGACCGGCGATGATCTAATTTATACTTGCTCAATTAGGATTTGTGGTGATTGAAGCAATTCTGGGAAGGTATGAGGCTTGCCCCATTTTTCTGGCAGCTGTTACTTCTCCGAATTGTGTGTATTTATCCACTGTTATCAATGTCAGAGCTAAACATTCTCATAAATCGCACGATTTCTTGTTTATATTTTGTGTACAGGTCCCGACGTGTGGCCTTTAGAATACCCACAGTGCAGTGGGGCACGACAGTCACCCATCAACCTGGAGGCGGATGACATGTACCGGCTGGTGGTGTCGAAGCAGCTCCGTTGGCATGGATACAGGACTCGTCCCCACAGCCTCACCCTCACAAACAACAGACACACAAGTACGCGGTAATCTCTTCATGTGGCAGAAAATACATTTTTGGTCTTAACGATCGCAAGATCTAGGTAACAGATTTGTTTGTATTTTCAGTTCAAGTGTCGGGCAAGTGGAAAATGACGCCATCCATATCAGGTGGACCCCTCGAGGGTGAATACACTTTTTCTCAACTGCACTTCCACTGGGGTTCCAGTGACACGATCGGCAGTGAACACACAGTTCGCAATGTCAGGTACCTCACTTGCACAGACGTTTAGGTTAAGTCGACGTCACCTTCGGTTTGAAGGAAGAAAACATTGCGATTGCGCAACATCATCATCATTAATGATAACATCCGAGTTCCGAAACAGGCGATTGATACTGCGTATTCGAGACTTACAACGCTCATGAAGTCAGCTGTCTGATCCTGGTATAGCTCGTCCTATGTAGTGACCAGGTTATGGGTGAACCACCTGGATTGCATTTCTGGACCGGTCAGAGTTTCTTCCGCGTTTTCCTTTCCCCACTAGCTCCATATAGCTAGAGAGTTTTCTCTACTCCACAGCGTCCAGACCGTCTCCAGAAGCCACCGAACCTCTTATCCGACGCGTACCGGGAGCTCTTTACACAGCAATAAAGCGGTCAGGGCGTGAAGCTGACCATTCACCTCCAACTACTGCCTGCGTCAAGAATAGTGAAACTATACCTCCACTCTCCAGTACTTCTTCATGGAATAATATTTAATTAGTTAAGTACGTGGACAAGGTCGTCCAGGCCGGCTCTGGGGCCCACACAACCTCCTACACCAGTCTTGTCCAACGCGTTGATCGCGGGACGATTTTTGGTCGATCTCATAGGCCTATAAGAAAATTATACTTGAAATCATGTAAATTCACTTGTAATATAATATGATTATATTCAGATTTTTAAGAGAAAATATGTATTAGTCATTTCTATTTTTCTGTTCTTAACGAACAAAGTCTATACTTTCAAGGTACAAGGGTTGGATAAAAAGTAGTGGCAACACTGCTGTAACATGAAAGATGTGCGTCAGGTGGCACTAGCGCCGTCTGTAGCTGATAGCAGAAGTTCAGTTGAAGTAGTGCAGTTAGTGACTCTGGTTGTGTTTCATTGAGTTGCATTGTGCATCGTCTTGAAGTGCAGGAGCCCAGTTCAAGCACCCTAACAACATGTTTACCAAACAAGAACAACGCTCCTGGATAAAAATTGAAGTTGCACGAGGTTGTAGTGTACGAAACTGTTATCAGGGACTGCGGGAAGCATGTGGTGATGCTGCTTTGCCATATCGCGCAGTGGCACGGTGGGTGAAATTGTTCCGTGAAGGGAGGGATGCCGTTCAGGCCAGCCGTCACTCAGGACGACCCCATGTTGACAACCACACAATTCAGCTTCTTGCTTCTTTGATGGATGTCGATCGTCGATGGGCGGTGCGGGAGTTAGCTGCTGAAGTAGGCGTATGTCACAAAACCGTGCTCCACATTCTGCACGATATTCTTGGATACTGCAAAATTGCAGCGCGTTGGGTACCCCATACAATGTCCGAGGTGCAACAATGGCAACGTTATGCAATTGCACAGGACTTGTTGGACCGGTACCATAAGGAAGGTGACAACTTCCTTGGAAGGATCGTCACTCTGGACGAAACTTGGGCTCGCTCATACGAACCGTACTTAAGCGACAGTCAAATCCTGGCTCTCCTCGTCCAAAGAAAGTGCGCCCTACACAGAGTATTGTGAAGGCGATGGTCAATGTGGCATATGACACTGATGGAGTGATACTGCACCACAGTAAACGCTGCCTACTACTGCAATTTCCTGCGTAATCATCTTCGTCCAGCTCTCAGGAGAAAATGGCGACACTTATTGGCAACGAACCCCATAATCCTTCATGACAATGCAAGGGCTGATAATACTGCTGACACTGTCAAGGATCTCCTTGCCACTGGCGATGGGAGGTACTGCAACATCCGCCATACTCACCCGATATGAGTCCGTGCGATTATGATCTCTTTACCAGAACGGAAGAATCACTGTGAGAGACACGTTACAACGCTAGAGATGAGATTATTCGTGCTGTAGGGCGGTAACTGATGGACATCAACAGAAGTGGACGCACTGGTAGTGTACGACACCTTCCACAAATTTGGCAGAAGGTGGTTCACATGGGGGGAGGTTATATTGAAGGAATGTAAGTGTGTTTAACTCAGGTAATAAAGTCATTTCAGAACTATAGAGCTGTTGCCACTACTTTTTATCCGACCTAGGTATGTTGCTTTCACAACAAACATCATGTGTCGTGTTATTTTTACCAATATTTTTGCTTAAAGCAAGGTACGACGATAGGAGGGGGTGGTAGATCACTGTCAGGTTTGACACTAAAAAGTTGATCACAAACTGTTTGAAGTTGGACAGGCCTGTCCTATATAAAGGTGGGAATACACGAGCGCGCCTCGGCTGTAACGCGGCATTACATTGATGCGCGGAGTGATTTGGTGCACCTCGAAGAAGCGACGCGCACGCAACGAACCATCTGAATGGGGCGCGCAAGCCGCGAGCACCTCAGTTCCATTCTGTCTTCGCCGTCCACACGACCCCACACGACGATGGAAGACGAGGAAGCGTCACTTTTTTTTGTTGTTCTTTTTATAATAATCATTTTCTCCGGGATTCCACAGTACAGGGAATGATTTCTATGCCTCTATGAGCCCCAAAATATCTTCTTCTGACCACTCCATGTTTGAGGCGTGCGCGCTTCACGAGACAAATGGCAACCGAACCCGACCACACTGAGGCAACGAATCCCTTTGTGTTCGTCAGAAAAACCGACAGGAACCGGATCGCTGCGCGCCATTTGAGGCGTGCGCTGCGCGTGTTCAAAGTCACGTACACACGAGCGAATAAGTCGCAAATCCCGTTCGATCTATGTTGCATTACAGCAGCGGCGTGCTCGTGTATTCCCACCTTAATGGGTACCGTGGGCGTGAAGATGACCACTCACCTCCAACTAGTGCCGAGTTCAAGCAAATGTGGATCTGTACATCCGCTCCCCCATACGCCTTCGTGACGTAGTGCTTAGTTAGTTAAGCACAGGTACAACTTTACCTTTCACGTGGACAAGAGGGACCTACCCCGCCTACTATCCAGCGGATATCGGAGAAGCCGGGGTCCATCTAATGCTGACGTAAGGCTGTATCTCCACCTGGATTCGTTGAGCTGATCGCGCGTCACTCTCTATCCGCTAAAGTTGGCACTAACTTCGTCGACAAGAGGCGGTCGCTCGGTCGGTATAGTCCGCTTGCGGAATAAGCCACGGAGTCTTTTTAATAGAAACACGTGACCCTCCACATACCTGATACATTTATTTGATCTTCGACTCTGGCGTTAATTTGTGCTGTGTTCTTATAACTCAGCTGTCCCTTGATTCTGTGATCACTGCTGTTGCTTTCAGCTTTCCTATGGAGATGCACTTGGTACACTTCAAGAAATCGTACGGGAGCCAAGACGAAGCACTCAAGCACGAAGACGGCCTGGCAGTGGTCTCCTTTCTCTTCAAGGTACAAAAATAAAGTTCCCTGTTGGGGTCATAAACAAAAGCTCTCTTTCCTCTGATTCAAAATGGATGTTATACTTATCGCAGATAGTAATTCACAGAACTCTTTTACAAATTCAGCAGGCATATGCACATCTTAACTGTGCAGATATTTCTCATCTTCAAGCAATTTGAAACCTGTAACGTCGAGAATATCTAATAGCAGGCGCGCGAAGTTCTGAGATGGGAGCAATGCTATCACTACTCATGTATGTGTATAACCATATATTTGAAGAATACACAGTTCTTGATTGACGGTTTCAAGCGAAACGGAAACTCCGTAACAGCAAGGCTACCATCTTGGATATTTTGGCGTAATGACGTTAAGTCTTGAACCACTACATGGTGATATACGAGTATTTTACATATGCCTGGGATGGGAGTAGTAAGTCTGCGAAAATATATGAAGTATCTCTTTTTTCGGAAACCTAAAATTTAATACTCTAATAGTACTTTTACCACGTCTTAATTTCGCATTAAATATATGATCCTGAACCCTCCACCAAAAAAAGATGTCTCCACCTTGTCGTGGTGGTAGGACTCTGTGGCCTGGAGAGCTATGCCGGCGGTAGTTTATCTACCAGAAGGGTTACCCATGCCGGAAAGGTCAAAGGGTAGAGTCCAGACTAAGAGAGATACCCTGATCCCCAAGGTTGGGTGTTGGGCATGAGGCTCACAAACTTCATCCTGTAAAAAGAATTTTGTTCAGAAACCTAACAGCCAGCCTCAGGTCATCATGCTTGGACCCATTCCTATGGCAGCACGCATTGGTTGTGGAGACTGGTTGTAGAGGAGACCAAGGCTCAGCCAGGGCTGTAGCGCCGAGTGGCAGGTAGGTAGTAATATGATTCTGACATCCTGAGACCGGTTATTTTTTTGGAGAGAGAGAGAGAGACGCATGGAAGTAACGAATAGATTAAGTGCTTCAAGCTAGGGCGCGCCATAGCTCAAGCGGTTAGTCGCTGACTTGCCACCGCGGCGGCCCGGGTTCGATCCCATGTCTGGTCAAGTGGGATTTGTGGTGGACCAAGTCGCGCTGGGCAGGTTTTCTCCGAGTACTTCGGTTTCCCCTGCCAATCTTCATTCCACCAATTGCTTTACAATCACCCTCACCTATCGTCTGGGGCTGGTACAATAGGCCAGAAGTGGCCGCAGTACAAGGGACTTAGTCCCACCCCACTAGCAATAAGAAAAAAAGTGCTTCACGCGGTCTCTTTGTGGCATTCTACACGAGAAAAGCCGTCTAAAGCTGCATTTCATCGGCAGTTATCAGAATTAGATTCAGGAAGTGCACCAAACATCGAAATAAACTCGAAGCGATCCGCGCTGCATTGCATCCAGTCTCGGATTAACATGTAACAATCAAATTAACAGTTTTTATATATTCCTTGCTCAAAATTTCATGTTGGGACATGATGTCTGCGACTTTTAGCGAGGACGGTATCCATAACAGATTTTTGTTATTACATTATACATTATCATTTCTCTTTAAGATTAAATCAAAATGAAGTTTGTGATTATTTTGGTTAAGCGATAATTTGAAGTCCGAAGTAAATTGTTACTGTTTATGCAGCACAATTTGTCTGCGCATGATCATGTTGTCCGGTCAACATTTCGTGTTACAAGTATTCTTTTACAAGATGAGTTTCTCTTTAGAAGTGAAATGAAAGTTAGTTAGAGAGCTCGTAGCACTAGAAGAATATTTTAATTTACATTTCTACGTCTTTATTTTGCAACCAGACCCATAGTACGAGGGTACACGGCTTGCTACTTACTATTACATGATTCAAACTGGTTATTCGTGATTTCCTTTAGTTTCCCCGGGTTCGATTCCCGGGGCTACTAGATTTTCTGAGAAGTAGTGGGTCTGGAACGGGGTCCACTCAGCCTCGTGAGGATAATTGAGAAGCTACTTGAATGGAAAAGTAGCGGCTCGTGTCTAGAAAACCGAAATTAATGACCGTGGCGATCCGTTACGCTGATCACGCGACACCCTCTATCCGCAAAAGATGACACTAACTTCGCCGACAAGCGGCGGTAGCTCGGTCGGTAGAGTTAGCTTGCGGACTAAAGGCTGCAGAGTTTTTGTTTGTTCCCAGGCAAGTTTATTGCCAATATTCCAAGCACAACATTATTATCAGTCGCTCACACAGGCGCCACACTCTTCACGTTACAGCTGAGTGAGCGGCCAAACCCGGCCCTGAATGTCATCGTCCCTTTCCTGGATGCGGTCGTGGGCGCCGAGTTGGAAGTGACCCTGACGCCACCCTTCCCACTACAGATGCTGGACGTCTCATTCCCATCGGAGTACGTGACATACTTGGGTTCCCTCACAACCCCACCGTGCAGCGAGGTGGTCACTTGGATCGTGTCGTCAAGCCCGCTGCTTCTGTCTCCTGGCCAGGTGAGCTGAAGGAGCTGCCGCCGTACAGCCGCACTGTGGTCGTAGGAACAGCTTTACCTTTACCCTTCTGCCAAGCCTCGTGACGATCGGTTCAGACGTTCGAGTAATATGAAGGACATAACAAATTTTGAGAGGCTATAGTGTTTGTATTTCTGATGAGAGGCATTCATGATTAAGCCATTGAGATGGCCTCGGGTGGCATAATATACATATTAACTTCCATGAAGATTGGTTCAGGCATTTAAGTAACATTGTCGTTATTACCGCAAGAATCTGAGAGATTGGAATGTTGGTATTTTTGGTCGAAGTTGTTTATGAAATGATCGCTGAGATGCCTTCATGTGGCATGATAATCATACCAAGTTTTATGAAGACTTGTCCAGATATTCAAACAATATTAAGGTTTTGCCTCAGCAATTTTAATGGATACAATGTTGGTGTTACTCATGGAAAGGAATTATGAATTGCATCATTGGGACTGGCTCAGGTGGCATGATACATATTCCAAATTTCATGAAGATTGGTGCAGGTGTTGAATAAATATTAGGATTTTGCCTCAGAAATTTGAATAGTCGTAATGCTAGTGTTACTGATGGAAGGGATTTATGAAGTGTGGCTTTGAAATGTCCTCAGGCGACATGATATACATACCAGTTTCTATGACGATCGGTTCAGGCAATTAACTAATATTACGGTTATTATGGTAAGTCATTTGAGAGTCAGTAATATTGGTATTACTGTTCTAAGGGTTTTATGGAGTATTCCGTTGAGATGACTTCATACGACAAGATATATTTACTGGTACAAGGATCCAAGCAATACTTTTTTTCTTCAGAAATTGGAGCTACCGTAATGTTGATATTTCTCACGGAAAGAAAGTATGAATATGCCGTTGAGATGGGCTCACGTGTCGTAATATACACACCAAGTTCAATAAAGATTTTTGTTTATGCATTCTAAAATTGTTAGGGGTGAATACGTGTGCAGACTCGCTGAGTGCAATGCGATCTTCTAAACCTATCTTTATTTTCTAATTAGGAAAGTAGACTAAACAATTGTCCCTTATACTGCAGTTCATTGAAGATTAAGTGAATTTTAATTTTCAAATAGGTGCATATTTAAATGTTTTATTGACGTGTGAGAATCCAGATTCATTGTAATTTACAAGCGAAGTTGCCTACTAACCTCATACTAATCCTGGAACCCAGCAGTTCCCAAACTTTTACGGGTCACCGCCCATTTTTTTTCCTAAACTCGTCCTCAGGTCTCCTGGTCTACACTGTAAAAAGCATTCTTCAGATTAAACTTTTACACAACCCGCTAAGGAAGACAATAACAACGAAAGAAATACTATTTTTAAAACAATTTCATTGAGTTATTCATTCATTCATCAAGAACAGTATATCCCTTTGTTGGTCCCTGGCCGCTTTTTCAGATCCGTAATCATATACACAGTCAGTAGGACTCCTTGAACGGGGAAAGTAACTATTTCACCTTAGTATATTCTTGATGCACTAGATGGGCTTGATAACGTGATACCAGTTCCCCAGTGTCTAGTCTAAAAGTCACTTCAATCGTAAATAAGCGAACAACGCTCTTGGAGGGTCCCACTTCGAGAGTCCCCCGCCTCACCTTTTCCGCTTAGCCCACTCTAGATAATCCCACGGCCTTCCAGAGGGTGATAAAATGCACTTTGTGAACCGCTGATGTACACGTCTTGTCTGGCACACGAATATAGGCAACATCTCCGACTTGGCTGTTTTGCGGGAAACATAAACTGATGGCTCTGAGATGCAGTTCGACTCAACGAAATTTATTCGTTCAGGTTGATTTTAACAGATTCCAGAAATAAAAATTTAGTTATATGTGACTCTGCGTTCAAGAAACAATGGATCTCTACAAACAAATTTATATTGTGGTCTTTGGGGTAATGGTACTGTTAGTCTCATACGTGATCACTTGTTATCTCCATCTTCAATGTAGCATCGCCTGAAGCTACTGCCTCCATTTTCAGGGTAGAAGATTACTTACACTACGAGAGCGTGTAATAATATTTCTATTTGGTGTGGATTGGCGAATTTGACGTTCATTCGCATTTCTTCCTTATAAATCTTATGTAATGAAGATCAAAACGCACTGTTCGAAAGAGCTGACGATGCCAGACATTGGTAGATGACATAAATAATATAGATCGCTACTTAAAACGGATCGTGATGTGGTGTACAGGTTTATCTATAACGGAATACAAGAAGGAGTTATTAATGTTTATCCAGTCCACCATCCATGCAGATTACAGTGGTAGTCCAGTGTCAGACGCTGACGTCTCCGACTGGGATCATGGGTTCGGATTCTGCTCGGGGTATAGATACGTATTTGTCTGCGAATCTCTGTGCTTGTGTTTTCCTGCGTAGGCAGAGACCTTGCGACTGATCGATCCCCCGTCCACGGGGTGTACTCAGTGTGTTTGAACAAGATTTAGAAACCGTGAAAATGTTAGCCCCTGGACCACATTAATTTGTAATGTTACACATGTAGGATTCTGTCTTATGTACTGGTGATTAGTGAAGTCAACAGCAGCCAAATTGATGTTACGGTAAATCGTTAGTACCGCTGCTTCATATTCTAGGGGTCCTGATTTCAAACTTCCTCGCAGAGTTTCGCTTTCCTGACGGAGAGTTCCCGCGTTTTTCCTCGCTCCCTCCAGATAAATTTCGGAATAGCAGATTACCTTAAATGAGGCCTTAACCATTCCCGTCCGCAACCTTCCCAGTTCTTATTCACTGGTCATCCTAATGCCATTCAGTGTTCTAGAATCATAACAACTGTGGTCTAGTGGTCAGAGTTCCTGCCTACAGATCCAGAGGTCCGGGTTCGGTTCCCGGCGCTACCAGATTTTCTGAGAAATAGTGAATCTGGAACGGGTTCACTCAGCCTTGTGAGGATAATTGAGGAACTATTTCAAGGAAATAGCGGCTCTGGTCTAGAAAACAGAAATTAACGGCCGTGGGTATTCTTTGTGCTGACCATCGTATATCCGCTAAAGTTGGTACTAACTTCGCCGACAGGGACCGTGCCATAGCTCAAGCGTTTAGTCGCTGGCTTCCCACCGCGGCAGTCCGGGTTCGATCCCGGGTCTGGTCAAGTGGAATTTGTGGAGGACAAAATGGCGCTGAGGCGGGTTTTCTCCGAGTACTTCGGTTTCCCCTGCCAATCTTCATTCCACCGAATTCTCCATCATCATTATCACCCGGGGCAGGATACAATAGGCCCATCAGTGACCGCCGTGTCCAGCGGACCCAACTGGACTCCACCCCTCACTAACTTCGCCGACAAGTGGCGGCCGCTCAATTGGTATAGTTCGCTTGCGGACTAAAACCACAGGGTTTTTTTACATAAACAAAGAATAAGTAAATGATTAAATAAATATATAACAGGAATGCATGTGGTGCAATAACCCCAGTAGAGAGTGAGTGACCAGTTGTATTCATCAAAGAGGAGGCCCCATTTCAAAATAATTGAAAGTGTTCGAGAAGACAAAAATATGGTCATGGGGTCCGAAGGGACCTGATACCAAAATTAACTGCGCTGGCAAGGACTAGCAGCAATTTACCCTAATTACTGACTCAGATGCAGTGTCTCTTATTCGTTAAAGCTGTTAGTAGCAGATTTCTCCCTGCAGGGCAACGAGACATGCAAAATAGCAAAGAACACTTTCATATTCATGGTCAAAAGTGTCTGGAGCTTTTTGATTTCCAGTCAAAAACTTTTCTGTGCGTCTGTCTCATACAAGAGGACTCGTACACCGATGGGGCGTTTTTTCTTTCAGCTCGCCAAGTTCAGACTCCTAGGTTCGGCAGACAGCAACATGGAGAACAACTTCAGACCTGTGCAACCCACCAATGGACGACCTGTGTTCTATGTCAGCTGAGACAGCCAAACGTTATTTTCTGTTCTAATTTATTTATGCACACATTTTGTAAGTAACTATTCAGTCAACAGGAAATTATCCTGGCCCTGAAACATGATAATGGTATCATACTCCATATCTTGAATAATTTGAAGTAAATTTTATAACACTTGTAGACTGATATTTAATTTTAAACTATTCAGGCTTTATTTTAGTCATTTCCGAAACCCTATAATCAAACATTCACTTGAATGGGAGAAGCTACATATGTCTGTTCCATTCTTAGAAGGATATCGGAGTTGGCGTGGCAGTAATGGTATCTAATATTATCAACGTGCACAAAACAACCTCCTATACACTTTCATGCTCACTCTTCTCATGTAGTTAGGTAATCTAAATGTATCAAATTTAAGTATGGGTTATCTCAGAACGTGAAGCCACGTAATAATTACCACATGCATGTCATGAGTTGCATAGATGGTTTTGTGCAATCGTAAGGAAATTAACAAATTATATCAACAACTGAAAACTTGAATGTGTTCATATTTTGTTCATATATAGATGATATTTATAAGTTATGACTTATATCAGTACCTACAAATAGTTATGTTATGTTTTCTATTATAAAAGTATCAACTGAATTTATATGTCTCGTAGTTCAAAACGCACTTGCATCATCTTGAAACTGTCCATCCATTCCGGTTTATTCCCGTCCTTACAGAAGTCCTCTTCAAATACTTCTGAGCCAGTTCCATCTACGGCTAATTTACATGTTGGAATCCCATTTCCATGCATTTAACTTTGATATTATCCGACCCAGCGAATCGTAGGAGGCGACGAAAAGGGAAGTCTCAAATCTGAGAGAGTATAATGTGGTCCCGAGCCCCAAGGGACTTGGACCGGAGAAAGACTGCGCTGGTAAGGACCAGCTAGATATACAAAAAACAGACCCGTCCTCTCGTCAGAGAAGGCGCCCCACAAAAAGAGGACCTAACTGTCAAACAGTAATACTGGGGCTCGACACCAAGACAGACTGACTGACCGTCAGTCGCAATGTGACTGTGACCGACTGTGACTTTGACTCTGACGTTAGCATCAATCACAGTTACGCTTACATGGAGAGAACATGGCAACTACAAGTCTTCTAATAGCAATCACTGGCAGCCGACTCTGTCAGCGCCGGTCAGCGCTCACTAAGCCAGCCATCTGCGGCTGGAGCTTCGCCGGCCAGTCGGTCTCGCCTCCACTAGAACCGGCTAGCTCGTTGCTGCAAGAGCTTCGCTCAGATCGCAATCACCGGGCTGCTGCTGCTGCAAGGAAGATCACCATCACTGGCGTCACTGGTTCAGGCTAGCCCGCTATGAAAGTAGTTTTCTCCCGTATTCATCAGGCACGCTGTATATTTCTTAAGTTTTTATTAATTTTCTTTTACATTTTATACATTTTATTAATTTTTATATATTTTGTACAATCTTATGTATATTTTATCTACTACCTTATTGTTCTCGTATATTTTTATTAATATTTTATTATATTTCATATATTTTGTGTATATTTTAAGTTTCTACTATTGTTTTAATATAATTTATACTCGTATATATTATGAATATTTTATGTTTCTGTTTATATTTATATATATTATATATTTTTTAATGATTTTGAATATTTCCTACGTCTTTATTAATTTTCTTTTATATATTATA